GCCCCCCAAACCCAACCAATGGCCCTGCGGCGGGCCCCTGGATGCTCATCTGACCGTAATCTATTGCCTAACACCCCTGAGCATCCGGGGGCTACGCCTCCTGGAACCCATGCCAAATCGTGACCTGCCAGTGTCACAAATAAGGTATAAAAATATGCTCATCTGACCTTAATTTATTGCCCAAAACCCCTTAGCTTCCGGGGGCTCCACCCCTAGACCCCACACCAATCAGTTACCTGCCAGTGTCACAAATAAGGTATAAAATATGTTCATCTGACGTAATTAAATGCCTAACGCCCTGAGCTTCCGGTGCTCTGCCCCGAACCAAACCAATGGCCCTAAGGCGGGCCCCTGGATGCTCATCTGACCTTATTTTATTGCCCAAAACCCCTGAGCTTCCTGAGGCTCCGCCCCCGTGGACCCCACGCCAATTCGTGACCTGCCAGTGTCACAAATAAGATATAAAATATGCACATCTGACGATAATTTAATGTATAAAAACCCTGAGCTTCTGGGGGCTCCGCCCCTTGGACCCAACACCAATTTGGGTCCTGCCAGTGTCACAAATAAGGTATAAAAAAATATGCTCATCTGACCGTTATTTATTGCCCCAAACCCCTGAGCTTCCGGGGGCTCCGCCCCCTGGACCCCACGCCTATTCGTGACTTGCCAGTGCACAAATAAGCCATAAAATTATGCTCATCCAACGATAATTTGATGTATAAAACCCCTGAGCTTCTGAGGGCTCCGCTCTGGGAAATTTTACCTTTGGGGGAGATAGCCCCCCCCCCCCCTCGTTTAAGGGGGGTGCTCATTACCCCCCCCCCCCCAGCAAGCACAGACCCTAATTTGACACTTTATCAAAAAAATCATTGTGCCTTGAGAGAAGTCTAGCCCAGCTACCTATATTGTTCCAGCAGTACATGGCCTATGGTAGTCTTATAGTGCATATTCACTTTTACGACTGACCAGGGTTTGTGATTGCAGACTACCCCCCCCCCCCCCCCTACTGAGCGAAATATTGGCCGGCACGATTTTCAAATTTTTAGCGCACTAAATTTCAAATTGATTTCAAATTTGGGCCCCCACCTCTAAGAAATCCTGGATCCGCGCCTGGCTTTATGAATAAAACCTTTGAAATATCGAATTCACATTTCGAGGTCGCGAAGCGACCGAGCGGTGCGGGGATGGTCTTGAAGGAGGGTTTCCCTCAGGGGCGGCAGAAATTATTCCAAAGTAGGGGGCATCAACAAAAAGGGCACTTTCTTGTAGAAGAAAAAGGGGCACCTACAAAGAGACACCTGAAAACGAAAAAAATATGAACAGTTTAGACATTGGTATAAGCCCATACATTGTGATTACATTACCAGTGATGATAAGTACATATTTGTTTCTCTCTTTAATTGGTTCAAAATACATTGCAGTTGAGTGTGATGATTTGAATATTCATTTGCACGTGAGTGAAGCGAGCGACGAGAATTTTAATATTTTGGAGGTTGCAGTGCGAAAATTCACATCTTACAACGACGAAAAAAACTAATCCTGGTGGAATTTTAGTCACAATCTAATCATGAAAGTAACACAATTATATGAACTAAATTTAAGAAAAGGTTGCTCTTGGTCGCTTTAAATTAGGGGTACATGTTTTTGAGAAAGGCAAAGGGGACACTTATCAGAAGGAAAAGTACACTTATAAGAATAGAAAAGGAGCAAGTGTCAAAGTAAAAAGGGCACTTATCAAAGGTGAAAAGGGGGCACTTTTCGATCCGGAATAGTGGCACTTATCCCAGAGATGAAAAGGGGGGCACTTAAGAGAATGGAAAAGGGGCCTTATTATAAAGGAAAAGGATCAGTTAAAGAAGTAAAAGGGGTCCCTCTCACATTTGAATAGGGATAATTATGAGAGATGGTAAAGGGCACTTATAAAAAAAGGTGAAACGGGCACCTATTAACCAGATAAAGGGGCACTTATCTGAAGTAAAAAGGGGCACTTTTGGGGTACTTGAAAAATTGGGGGAACTGTGCCCCCTGCTACCGGGAGCGCCACCTATGGCGGATCCAAACGGCGGCAAGAGGGGGGGGGGGGGGTCCAATCCGTGAGAAGATATTTAGTTGCGACTCAGTCAGCCGGTGAAAAAGCGGGGGGGGGGGCGGGATCGGAAAAAACATTTTTTTTTTTGGTCCAATTTTTCACGAAATATTTTTTCGGCGACTGAGCCAGCCGATGAATAAGCGAGGTTGGAGGGGGGAAGGGGTGGTAAGAGGCACTTTTTTTCTTTTTTCCCCCAATTTTTTAGGAAATAATTTGCGCCGACTCAGCCAGCCGGTGAATAAGCGGGGGGGGGGGGGGTTAATTCTTCTTTTCTTTTTTTTTTGTTGACCGGGGGGGGGGCCGGTGGATCCGCTCCTGGTGCACACTTCCCCCCGCACCCCTTAGTTACGGGCGTGGGCTACAAATAAATAGTCGAAAAATCATCAGACATGCATGTTGTTATCAATATATAGGCCTACAAATAATTTCAGAAGTAGCACGAGCAAACCTTTGATTATTTTATGTACCAACGGGTGAGTCTAGAAGGTTTTGGAGATATTAAAACAAATGTCAAGGGAAAAATTCGAAGACACTAAGCAAGAATCGAAACCAGATTTATGCTCCTATCCCGGTTAGAGAACTCCCTTTTCCAGTCCTCGTTATTTAACAATGATGAAAAGTCTATCAGACTGATGAGTTGCAAATAATATAGGCGTCTGGGCTATGATAACGTTTGTTTGCAATAATCTTTGAAGTTTGAATAAATAGTTAATAAATAAAGGTAGTGATCGGGGGGTTAAGCCTAGGGCGGTGGCCATACTGGTGGTGGCTGTCAGTTAGGTGGTATAATAGTCTTTCCAGTGTAAATATAAACGATGAAAATGCCATGAAAAAAATTAATGAACAATTGAAAAGCCATTAAGACAGCTGTATATAACAAGTACGTTTTGTCAATCTCTTTGATGAGGGTAGGGTGGCACTAGCCCGATGATAAACTCAATTGCGATCACTGGGGTATTGATGGGGATGGGGGCTGGGAAGGGTGGGGGGGGCAGTTGACCCCCAAATAAAATTCACTGACGTGGTTTATTTTGAATACAATACCTGATATTTACAAATGCTGCTGTAATGACATGATTTTTCGTTTCCCCCCCCTCACTTTTGCCCATTATATGCCACAAGCGGCGGCACTCCCGCTGGGAGGGGGGGGGGGGGGCGGGGATGGGCACTTTCGCAGGTTATACCCAACTTTTTGCTCCTTTTTACATAGGACAAGTGCCCCTTTTGTTTTCTAATAACCTTTTCCTTTTTTTAATCTCTGATGAGTATATCTCTCTTCAGGTGCGAGAAATTCCCATTTTCACTTCTGATTTTTTGCCCCCCCCTTTTTTTTTTACATCGACTCGTACCTATTTTCCTTTTTAAAAAGTGCACTTTTTCCTTCGTAATAAGAACGCCTTCCCTTTCTCTTTAATGCCACTTTTCACCTCTGATAAGTGATCCTTTTATTTTGACACGTGCCCCTTTTTCCAGTACAAGTACAATATTTCCTTTGGATAAGTGCCCCTTTTTCTTTTTTATATGAGCCCCTCCCTCTTTTCAAAATACCTCTTTTCACATCTGATAAATGCCCCTATTAAAATCTGATAGGTGCCCTTTTCCTTCAACAGATTCCCCATTTCCGTTCTCACGTCACAAGTGCTCTTTTTCATTTTTGTTGAGTGTCCCTTTTCAGGTGCAAAGAAGTGCCATTTTCACCTCTGATAATTGCCATTTTTAATTTGACACGAGCACCTTTTCTTTTCTAATAACTGTCCTTTTTCCTTTTGTGCCTACTGTTCCTTTCTCCAGTAACATGCACCTCTAATTCAAGGCAACTTAGAGCCTCTTTCCCCATTATTTTTCCTAGAATTCGCTCGCTATGCTCTCTCGCATTAATAGATGTTATAATATGTTACTTATAAAAGAATTCTCAGTATTTCTTCATTAGATTGTCACCAGGGTTTGTTTTTTGTCTTCTTTTTAAGATGTAATTTTTCACACTGGGAGCTCACAAATCTTTAAATTTTTTGCTCGCTCAAAAATTAATATTCAGATCATCACACCCAAATGCATATATGTTCCTTATCTTGTACCACGTAAAGAAAAAAACAATTACTGATGTCATCCCTGGTAGTGTAATGTAGGGGTGTATACCAATATTTTTCTGATTTTTCACTTTTTAGGTGCCCCTTTTTTGTTGGTGCCCCCTCCTAGCTATTTTAGAAAACGCACCGCCGCCCCTGCATTATCCTACTTGGTGGTGATACGGATTTTGTTCTGACCCCAAAAGGTTTTTACTCATTGCAGCACTAATTGCGATTTAACTCTCAATATGAAGTGTAAAATCATGAACTTTTCCGTTTCTAAACTTTGTGAGCAAGCAAATTAAGCTATCAACTTGATAACTTATTGACAAAGCAAAAGTAATACTGTTGTCCGATATGATACGGCGATAGCCTAGAAGGGCCTCAAATATTAGTAATTTCGAAAGGCTAGATTCCCCCCCCCCCCATTTTGGGGGTGGATTTTAGGACAATTACCCCCTGGAAAATTACCCCCGGAAAATTATCCCCAAGTACAACCGGCCTCCCGAAAACAATTACCCCCCCCCCCCCCCCCCCCAAAAAAAAAAAAAAAAAAAAAAAAACGGGGGGGGGGGGCATTTTCCTCGGGTGTGGTTGTCCTTATAAGGGGTAATTTTCCGGGGGTAATTTTCCGGGAGGTGATTGTCCAGGGAGTGATACCTATACCTGCAGTACCATCATCCCTCCGATCCATCGCCTGTCGATATCATGAATGAGGAACTACAACCTTTCCCTTGTAGACTGGTAAATAATCACGAATCAGTTATAATTCGGAGTCACTCTACTTTCCCCATAACACAAGAAACTGATATGATTCTGTAGAATTGCTAAGCTAACGTGTTATTCAGTGTACTTCCTATGCGATCGCATACGTGGAAAGATGGCAGCCCACAAGAAAACGACGCGACAAGTCTTGTTATTCATATTTTTAAATGTTATTTGTGTCGGAGCGGATTTGCCAGAAAAGCTACTTTGTGCAGATTTGAAATGCAGAGGTAACTATAAATTCTTCATTTTTATTAATGATCACCTAGACGGAATTTGTCTGTGTTTTAAAATTGATATGTAAGGTTCGTGTGTAACGTTAACAATTTCTCTTTCTGTCACCGATCGTCTCGTCGGCTCGACCCGGCGAAGGCAAAGCCAAAGCCGAAGCCGGTTCGTTGCCTTTTGTATCAGGCTTCTAGACGGATCCTGGTACTCAGGCTAGCCTGATCCTGGTACTCAGGCTAGCCTGGAAGGTACAGGAATGATGATTTAAAGACAGAAATCTTCTTAATCTTAGCTTCAGTCTCTGATATTGACGTTTCCGCTGAAACTACGTCTGTCTCCATGCATTGACTGTCTCTATTTTATAAACAATGATAAATCTCTACCGAAACTGAATGAAGCATGATAGATGGGGTGACGGCTGAAATTTGCAGAGATTACAAAAAATATGTGGTATTCGATCCATCATTCCACGATTTCTTAAATTCTACACATAGATCTATCTATTAAGTTAAATTACTACCAATTTAAGTCAATGGACAGCAAAATTTAAGACTACAAATTCATCCAGCAAGAAAATATATCGTCCACAGATATCGTGATCTCAGAATTCTATGTTGCATCAGAATGTGCTCCAACTGACAAAATTTTCACAAAACATTGAATTTGTATTGCCAATTTGATAGGTACTTCATGAAAATAGCAATTAGTTTTAATAATGTAAAAAGGCGTGGGAAAGGCCAAGGGTTACACTACCCCTAAAGAAGTGCAAAAGTTCACAAACCAAGATTTAACAGATGATTTGTTAAGGATTTGACTGTCAAGTGGATTTGGCGCCTTATAAATCTTATGTATTATTATTATTATTTTTAAGGATGAGAATCTATAAAAGGCAGAACAAAAACATATCACACAAGGAATGGGAATGTGCTTCTCTGTGCACATGTATTCCTTTTTATTTTACAGACTGAAAAATATATGTATATGTTATCAACAACACAAAGTGCATGCATTTAGATGAACATTAGTTTTGTATTTTTAAAGATAATATTTCATTAAAATTTTACAAAAACAAATCCTTCATTTTCATTTGTTCCTCAGCTCCCATTTCCAGAGTACAGTCCGTGTTCAGCTACAATGCTCCAGACCCACACTTCTTGTCTTTCAGCCAGCATGAAGTTATTCAAGTATTTGCTAAGGATGTTGATGAATCTGGATTGTGGACAGGAGAGGTATATGTTTTTCCTTCTTATTGATATATTACATACAGCACAGTGTAGCATATGACCATGTATTGCATGAATTCAAATGAAATAGAAATAGGGATATATTTGCAGGCCTTAAATTTCGTCATTTTTAGGGCAAGGCCAGTTTGGCCTCGAGTACCTCATATTTTTAAGGGCACCAAGGCCAAAATATTTTTACAAAAAGGGCATCGAGGCCAAAATATTTTACAAAAAGGGCATCGAGTATGAGGCCAAAAAAATTGATTCTATTTTTGTTAGATGTCATGTGTATTTTATGAAACTTGTGCAGGATCAATTTCCCATGACTTTTAGCACCAGCTTCTTCACAGAATGTATAGAGGTCTACGGTACATACAAACAAGCAGGCGCGTAGCCACGGGGGGGGGGGGGGGGGGGGGGGGGGGGGGGCACGGGGGGCACGTGCCCCCCCCTAAAATTTCCAGGATCGGTTGAAATTTTGTAGACCCCTTTTTTTGACCTCGATCGATTACATGTATGTGCCCCCCCAAACACCAAACTCTGGCTACGCGCCTGCAAACAAGGCGGCGGCCCGCAAGCCTTAGATTTAGCAGCCAGGAGCAAGGGGCAATTTTTTTTTAAGTTGCCCTTTGCCACGGGAATTTACCAGAGCAAGGGGCAATTTTCCAAAAACAGATAGGCCGCTTATCTAATCATAAGTTCAAAGAGAGTCTACAAATGTTAATTTCATAATGTGAATAGATCGAACGATCAATTTAATAACTTTTTAATCTTAACAATATGAACAGGAAAGATTGATTAAGAACATCAAACTTGCACATTAAACAGTATTTTAAAGTAACTAAAAATATTGATGAGCAAATGAATAAATAAATTGTCAATTTCACAAACATCGAAAGTCAGAAGGACTTAATTGGCAAGTTTTCCGGGCCGGGTATTCCAAATCAAAATCGCACCTCACACACAAACCTTCCGCCACTCTCTCGGTAGTAGGAGCAAATTTGAAGAAATTATCTTTTTAACTGTTGTATAGAAAGGTCTACATAGATCTAGGCCTAAGTAATGAAATAAGATGTAAAAATGTCCTTATAGACATTCGACAGCTGAAAGTGACACGCTCAGCTCAGTTGCGTAACGTGCATTCACGAAACCAAAATCGTTCCTCGCACACACACTCTCGCCACTTTTGGTGGGAAGCTGTCGGGCTGGAAGTTTGCCAGCGAAACCGATGCACCCTCGGAATTTTACCGGGACTCGAAACGTTCGTCTTGGGAAGCTGGCGGGGTAGCTTTTTGAAGCGAGGTCGGCTGGTGGCAAAATGAGAGTAACTACGATCGAGAACATCGTAGGTGTTCTTAACTTATTAATAAGATAATTCTAAATTCTACTTGAGATAAAATAATAAACTAGGCCTACAAACAAACCTCGACAGATCTCTAATGACTATTTGAATGCTTGTTTATTTCTCCATTTGACGATTTGTTTTCTTGATCCTGGCCTTCGATTTGTACGTACGTGCGTGCGTCAACAGCATGCACCATATGCATATCATGCGATCGCATAATGTGAACGTACGTCCGTACGTGCGCTAGCGCATTGCCTATATAATAACAAAGGGCGCATTTTCACGGCACTTGCGCCTTATTAAAGCACTAAATACGAAGCTAGAAGAGAGCTCGTGGGCGGCAAACTGTTCGTGATTCGTGTATTTTTACTGTTCTAATAATTTATGGGCGCATTTTCACGGAAAACACTTGCGCCTTGCCGTCTAGTTTTAGATGATTATGGGCGCAATTGGTGGTTTTATGTGCGCAAATTTAAAATAAAAAGGGCACGTCCAGTTGGAAAAAAAAGGCACGTCGGCCAGTTTGAAAAAAAGGGCACGGCCTTTTTGGCCGTGAATATATCTTTTTTTGGGAGGGCACCGCGGCCAGTCATAGGGGCATCGACGGCCTGGCCGTCGATGGCCGTCGATTAATTTAAGGCCTGTATTTGGTAATATTTCCAAATTTTTAGTAACTCTGTACCGGTATTTGTTTTAGGTAGAGAGAATCGTTTTGCTTTAAAGCCTGCAAGATACAAACAGGGTTCCATGAGCAAAACATTCTCTTTAAACAATTCAAAACCCCCCTAGCTAGCACAAAATATTAGTAAATCGAGAAGAACATTTGAATACTAAAACCACATAATTAAGGTTATGAGATTAGCTAAATAAAAATGATTGCACAGGGGAAAGATTGTCTTATGGTTCGATGACAACTGCTCTGAGGTCATTTTCTAACAGTGAACCCTGGGGTGGTATTCTGAACATTGTTGTAAGTTTTGTGTTATCTTTTGTTGTATCTCCCAGAGATAACACAGCGCTAATATTGTTGTAAGTTGGTATTCTGAACATCATTTTATCCCTGTGTTATCTCTTGAAGGACCGCCTCTATCTTATCTTTGACCGCTGTTGACACGCCCATTTTTATGGACCCTACCAATCAAAATCTGTTTTATATAAGCATGATAAGTAGGTCAACCAATAGAAATACTTTATGCCATATCTAAAGATGCGCCTAGCGCATACTAATCTTGGGCGTAATTAGTTATTTGAGCGCTTATTACGCGCGTCATCATTTGCGCTGTGGCATGTGGATCATGAAGACAAATGACGCTTTCACTATATTGGTTAAGATGAGAGCATTAAAATCATCATATCCTAGCATTTAATTTCTTAGAAAGTTCTCATCTTTGACGTTTCCGGTCAACACATTATCTTCTTCTAACTCGTCTATTGGCACAAAGTTGGTTCTGGGCAAGAAATATTGCCGCCATTATATCACCACGAAAGATACAACAACCCCCTACCTGTTGTAAATATTGTTGTAAATACCATGCAAGATAAGATAAGATAAAAGATACAACAACTTTCAGAATACCAATTATCTCGACATATTATCTCCCGTGCGCATATGCAAATGAGGATTAAGCGCCATGTTATTACTAATAAGCACAATTACAAGCGCACCAAGCTATGAGCGCAGGCGCGGCCAATGAGATGAGAGAAAAGATACAACAAAAGATAACACAAAAGTTACAACAGTGTTCAGAATACCAACTTTATCTTATCTCCAAAGATACAACAATATTAGAGATAACACAGGGTTCAGAATACCGCCCCTGGTCTCAATACTCATCCCACCTCTATCCTTAACATCAATCATACCAGTAAACTAAAACCCAATCACAATCCAAACCCTCATCCTTAGATGAAATATAACCCGGAGCAAATGTGGATCACCAAAGAAAAATGTTTATTCATCTCATTGTATTTCTCTGTTTTCCTGTAGCTGCTCATGAAACCTGGGAAGATTGGTCTCTTCAACAAGGATCTTGTCAAAGAGCTGGTTGTATTCAACAAGAGTCCAGTACAACATGTTGATATTGTGGTAAATATTTTATCAAGCTATGTGTAATTGTGAATTATGTCAAACTATGTTCCCCCAAAGAAGTTAGGGATATATCCTAATTGTGGATTTATTTATAATGGCTTCCAGCTTTCATTAGAACATAGCAAGTGTTTTTCAGTTATTAAAGTGTTTGTTTCATGTGTCAAGAATTAATTTTTATTAGGCTTACATGTATTATTTATTAGATAGATATATATGAATGAAGATTTTTATATTAAAATATATATTCAGTGATATTTTGAACATTCATTTGGCCTGGATATTAGATCTTAATGTTTGATTAGTATGCCAATTGATATGTTTAAATTTAGTATTGCAACAGTGAAATAGTAAAATGACTGGATGATGTTTAGAATATGTTTTTGATATCACCACAATTTACTCCTCCCACCCCCATTCCCATAGAATACTTTTGCATCTTAGAAAATTAACCCAAATTATATCTATAACTGACAAGTCACTAAAGCAGGTTTGACTGTATTGTAATTGATGTTTTGTGTAATCTCTTTTCCTCTTTGCTTCAAGGATTTCTTTGATAATAGAGGGATATCACATGGGCTAGGAGATAGACGGCCCCCAGAGCCTACAGCAAAGGAGAAGGAGACAGAAGAGGTTGAAACGAAAGAAAGTAATGGAACAGAACAGGGACAGGACCACAGTGGACCTGAACAGGGCCTGGACCAGACTGGACCAGAACAGGGCCTGGACCAGACTGAACCAGAACAGGGCCTGGAGCAGAGTGGACCAGAACAAGGCCTGGAGCAGAGTGAACCAGAACAGGGCCTGGAGCAGAGGGGGCCAGAACAGGGCCAGGACCAGAATGAACCAGAACAGAACCAGGAACTGGGTGCACCAGGTAGGTTTAAGTTTGTAGCAGATCAGCAACGAAGCAAGGAGGAACATGATGAAACTGATCCCCAATCATTTGTGACGACAAATGTCAAAGTTGGTGATAGACCTCATAATAAATTTGGTGATGGCTTACCTAACGATAACATTCATAGAACTGGAAACCTTGAGATCAAAATGGAACTCAATAACAAAGAGCTGATTGAGGAAAATTCAGTGCATAATTTACAAAGTGAAAGAAGAGATGTTGGGAATAGAGAAAATAATCTCAAAATGGTTGTGCAAAGTGAAACATTGATGGTAAGACATGAAGAGAGGGATGGAAATGAACTTGATGCGAATGAAGCATTTCAAGGGACAGTATCTAAACAGGATATTCTGGAAATAAACCAATCAGATGCAAAACTTAATGCGCAAGTGGATGAATTTACCAACCAAGGTGATGATCATTCTAAATTAACGTTTGAACAATCAAGTACCACTAATGACAAACATCAAGATTTACCTTTGAAGGACTCAGATATTGTTAGTTTACAGGGAGCAAAAGAAAGTATTGATTTGACTGAACATTATGAAAGCAAGGTTAGCTTAGAGGAAAACCACCAGAATGAGATTCCTCTTCAAAGTGGTGATAGAATTAATCCAAAGATTGATGTTAAGCTTGAAAATAAATCTTTTAAAACGAGCACACATTCTGAAACATACACTCCTCATGATGCAGGGCACGTAAGGGGTGAAGAAGAGGAAAATGAAGTGGAATATGATGAAGACCATGAGGAAGAAGAAGATGATGTCAAGGAGTATGTTGAGCGCAAATATGTCTATGATGATGAAGAAGAAGAGGATTTTCTGGATGAAATTTTGGAGGGGAGGGGTAATGAAGACAAACGCATTGAGGAAGAAAAGGCTAAACCCAAAGAGCGAAATCCAAAGGTTGCTTCTCATGGAGAGGATTTGGATAAAGGTGATGTAGAGGAAGTAAAGAAGAGCCACTACGAAGGTCCCATCAAGAATGAACCTTCCGCAGAGAAGATGGGTGTCATACATAAAGTTCAGCAGCTGATTTATGATACTGAGAAGCAGGAGAGGGTCATCAGGGAACAGAGCCAGAAGGATCCTCCAGGGGGTCCTCAGAGGGGAGATGTCATGGATGTGGAAGAAGCAGCACATATTCAGGAAATGGAGAGGTTGATGAAAGAAGAAGAAGAACTTCAAACAGGCTTAGACAAGGATCTGTTTGAAAGTCGAAGGGAGCAAATGAATGATAATAAAAGAGACAAATCTGTAGTTCAAGCCGAGGACATTTTACACACTGGAGATGTATCCCAACAGGAAGGAATGAAGACTGCTGATGAAAACAGTGAAGAAGAAAATTATGAGGCAGAAGATGAAGAAAAGGATGATGATGATGATGGTGACGAATGGGTAAATAGACATGGTGGAGAAAAAGAACATGTAAGCAAAGATGAGAAGAAAGAAGGTGAAGATTTAGAGTTAGAAGATGATGACATAGAAGAACAGATAATCCAACCTGATGAAACCTTGACGTATGATGCTGAGGAATACAGTGGAAAGGAGGAATTTCTTAGGGAAGAGGAAGAACTTCCTAGGGAAGAGGAAGAACTTGATAGTGAATATAATGAGGACGAAGATGAAGGGGTTTTAGGTTTAGTGGATAATGAGGAGATTGAAGAATGGATAATCCAAATGGATCAAAGTGCGAAAGAAGAAATGGACCTCCAGAGGGAAATTGATGAAAAGGCCAGGGAAGAAACAGAAGCAGACGAGACAGAGTCAGTGCAAGAAGAGATATCCATGACCCTTGAACCCTCAACAGATGTGGAACAAATTAAGAGTGATACAGCCATTCAGGAGAATATGATGGCCTTTGGTAAGTTGGATGCAGGAGTGCATAGAGCTGTCCTAACATCATAAGCTGCATCTAAAACTGCATGTCAAAGTGTCCTCACACTACTCCATCCCCATTGCCACTCGCTGGCATCTCTAAACAACTTACAATCATTAGATGTAATTAGATTCTACCAACTTTATTGCCATACTAATATTAGTAGGGACTTTTAGATTTACACGACGAGAGCGTGGACTGCCGTGTGTGACATTGTGGTAAGGCACTGGGCCGTGCCCGGCAGTGCCTTAAAAGGATGTCACATTACCTCAAAAGGATGTCACACGTTGCTGTCCACGTTCTCGTCATGTAAAATTAAAAGTCCCTACTATAGTATCTGGAACTACATGTAACTGCCAGGCACTACTGGGTGTTATGAACTCCCCATTCAACGTCACATGGATTGATCAAAGACGACCACTGTTACTGCCTTGCACACAATACAGATTTTTTTTTTGAATGGAAGGAGAGAAGACAATTTATGTTGGTTGACAAAAGATGTTAAATGTAATGCCAGCCGACTAGATGGGATAACAAAGGGGATGATTTTTAATAGGTGGGAAATAAAAAAATTACCATTCATATGTGTTGCTTGAACAGTACTTGATGCTGCAGTTTTAATTTCACAACATATGTTGTGAAAAAAAAACTGCAGTATCAAGTACATGTACTCTATACATGTCCATGTATGGATTGCTGCAGAGTTTCAAAATCTATAATTTGTATTTGTTTCGTACACTTTAATTGTACTCATAAATCATGAATGATCAGATTAACAACAACAATGATTGTATACAAAGTAAACAATACCCAAGAGAAATAATCCATACATGTGTATTAGCATGCACAATGTTAATGTTGTATGTTCTACTATTACTGTTGTTGAATGTGCTTTCAGCCGTATTTTACTAACTTGTGTGCAGTTGTGAATCATGTGATAATGTGCGCATTTTTGACACTTTTGTGTTTGATTGTAATTTACTAATAATGTTTGTTAAGCTTACAAGTTACTGTGTATTGTACAATTTCAGCTTGCCTCTCGTTATTGTTTATTGCTACTGATACTAACCATTATTTATCGTCTTGTTTTGTTTCTTTTTATTTTGTCTTTCATGCTTGTCATTTTGTCTTGTGGACGTCCCTGTTTTTGTGTGTATATGCTTAATCTCAAACATGTTGCATGCTGCTGCAAATAGATTCTGAAAAACTATTAGAATTAAACAACTCAAAAATCCTTAGTAATGAAAGTGAGACAGATAAGAATACTACTAATGTACAAATAGATACTTCTAGTTCTAGCAACAATAATGATCAAGAAAATGTAGTTGAACTTGAACATGATCTACACTGCCAGTTGTTCTATCCACTTCAAGCCCGTCAGAAAGAATTTCCTGTTTGCCCTGTTAGCCACAAGACGATAGAGTTCTTAGACAAAGACAAAGACAAATCAGTGGACAACACTCGGAGTAGTGTGCTAGTAGAAAAAAATGTCAGCTTTCAGAAAATTGATTGGCTTAGTGAATTGCCATACATGCTTGGCAAATGCGACGTATCTTTGTTGAACTTTCAATCGGAGCACAGAGTATGCACAGCTGTGGAGTATTTGATCAGAACCTTCAAGAATGTTGAACAACCTAATGCTAGACAGCTAATGAAGCCCAAGAGAGAAGTGAAGCAACCTTTGTGCAAGGCAGACCAGAGATATGATTACATGAATGTCATGCAGACAGTTGGTGTTTGCTTTGACAGCGATTTTATTGTAGAGAAAAGCAGAGGATCCCATAAACAAATTAAACAATTGTCAAAAGACATCACAGATGTTGGTTGTTTGAAAGTAGATTATAAAGATATGATGCAAGATGTGCACATGTCTACTTGCCATGATGAGGATATTAAAACTGAAGAAAAAGATTCAAACTCAAATCAAGTAGATGAAGTGGTTATTAGGGATTCGATTGACAATTACAATGAAAAGACAGTTTCAGATATAAGGAACAGAGCAGAGGGAAACATTCTCCATGTGTCCGCAAATGCACCAGACAAAGTTGAGTTTTTGTCTCTTCTTTTGACTAGTTGGTATCCTCATTCTGAAATCACTCCAGCCAAGGGGAATGGAACAAAGGAAAGACCTAAAAATGTCCAGTCAAGGCTGGAGAAACACACACCCAAGAAAGATACATCTTTGAGATTAGATGATCAAGCTGGAAACCCCCAAATCCCTGGTAGGCCTACTGACCAGGATAAACCAGGATTAGGAAAGGAGACTGTGTGGGCAGCAGCATGTCCCAACAAAAATTTAATTGAACTTTATTTCTCAGCATGGTTTATGTGTAGTATTACTGAATCCATTCCACTATCCAATGCAAAGGAAAAAGATCCAACTGATTTTGAAAATGCAAGAAACTCAAAAGATATTGAGCATGTCTGTCAAGATGATGCAGAAATAATCTCTGAATCATCACAAGTTGGCTTTGTAAAGAAGAATCTTGGTACAACACCATGGTCAACTCTTAGTGCCTTCAAGTTGCTGATCGATCAGGTTCATAAATTTCAAGAAAATGAAGCTAAAAGAAGTAGTGTTTCTCATGATAAACAAAGAAAGTCGAGAGCACAAGGGCAGTACTGCAGTAGGCCAATCTACATTGACTTGTTAGTTTCACCTGAAAGAAAGTGTCTAGTTCAACAAAAGACTATAAAACCAGTAGTAACAAACAGAAGCATGTCTTTGTCATGCAGCAAGCTCAACAGATACATAGATATCCTGATAGCACATAGTGAACCAAAGTTTTGCATAGTCAATGATTTTCCAGTTGCCGAGAAAGTTATCGGTACCCCACATAGGATGCCAAAGAACACTTGCAGCAAATTAGATGGATATCATCTTACATTTACCAATACTTACAAAAAGGAAGATCAGTTTTGTGTTGATCAGTCTGTTTTGAAACCTGAAGTAGCACATAGCGAACTGAAATCTGGCTCTATCTGTAACCCTTCACTTGCCAAGAAACTCATCCCACGTAGGATCCCTTTGAACACTTCCAGCAAGTTGGATGGATATCGTTTTGCATTTACCAATGCTCCTAGAAAGGAAGATCAGTGTTTTGTTGTTCAGTCTGTTTTTAAATCTGAAGTAGCACATAGCGAGCAGAAATCTGGCTCTTCTATCCGTAACCTCCCACGTAGGAACCCTTTGAACACTTCCAGCAAGTTTGATGGATATCGTCTTACATTTATCAATGCTTACAAAAAGGAAGATCAATTTTGTGTTCATCTGTCTGTTATGAAATCTGAAGTAGCACGTAGCGAACAGAAATCTGGCTCTATCCGTAACCTCCCACTTGCCAAGAAACTCATCCAACGTAGGAACCCTTTGAACACTTCCAGCAAGTTGGATGGATACCGTCTTACATTTACCAATGCTTACAAAAAGGAAGATCAGTCTTGTATTCATCAGTCTATTTTGAAATCTGAAGTAGCACATAGCGAACAGAAATCTGGCTCTATCCGTAACCCTTCACTTGCCAAGAAACTCATCCCACGTAGGATCCCTTTGAACACTTCCAGTAAGTTGGATGGATATCGTCTTGCATTTACCAATGCTCCTAGAAAGGGAGATCAGTGTTTTGTTGACCAATCTGTTATGGAATCTGAAGTAGCACGTAGCGAACAGAAATCTGGCTCTATCCGTAACCTTCCACTTGCCAAAAAACTCATCCCACGTAGGAACCCTTTGAACACTTCCAGCAAGTTGGATGGATATCGTCTTGCATTTACCAATGCTTCTAGAAAGGAAGATCAGTGTTTTGTTGATCATTCTGTTGTGAAATCTAAAGGAGAATCTCTTCAAAAAGTGATCTCCAAGCATTCTGAATCCTGTTTGTCAAGAGGCTATGAAGACTTGATCCTGTCTGTCTTGTCCATCTATAAGAGGAAATGTTTTATGACAGATTACCACACAGTAAGGCCTTCTAAATTTGAAAATTTCATCAGTGAAGCATACATAGGCCCAATGGCCAATAAGACATCCAGTAAACCAGTCAAGAAGAATTTCCCTTACAGGCATGGAACATGCCACTTCGAAAGCTTTGAAGACATTGTAACATTGGGATCCAAACAAAGATATTTCAGGGATGGCATTATCAGTGAGACAGGAATGTGTCCCTTAAAACAAAAGAAATCTGTTGAACAAGGTGAGGTTGCTTCAAATTTGACCCATCCCTTTTGCCAGTATTCCAAAATGGAAGAATACAAGGCACTGTTTGGCCTTTCAACATGTACTCCAGTATACTCTTATTCAGCCAAAGACTCGCAACTCCCTGCAAACAAAGAAAAGGGTTTGGAAGAGATTGAGATTTCTCAAAGTCCCACCAATTCCTGCTGCCAGTATTCCAAGATGGATGAATGCAAGTCACTGTTTGGTCTTCCAACAAGTACTCCAGTACACTTTCAGTCAGCTCAAGACTCGCAACGCCCTGCAATCAAAGGCAAGGTTTTGGAAGAGATTGACGTTTCTCAAAGTCCCACCAATTCCTGCTGCCATTATTCCAAGATGGATGAATACAAGTCACTGTTTGGCCTTCCAACAAGTACTCCAATACGCTTCCATTCAGCCCAAGAATCACCACTCCCATGTAGTTCCTGCACTTCAAACATACACTCTGGGATTAAGAGATGCGAGTTGAAAGACAACTTTTGTCACTGTAATACATCTGCAGAGGATGACGTCCATGGAAATCTGTCCACTAGGATGGGTGGAAGTTGTCAGACTGAGCTATTCATGCTGCTTATATTATCTGGGAGTCAATGTCTTGCAGGTGTCGTCCCAAGAGACTCGCAGCCATCATGCTCAATATTAGAAGGTTTTCATAAACATTCCTCAAAGGAAGATGCTGAACCATTGAAACAGAACAGCTTAGAATATGACCTTTTCCTCTATAAAGCAATAATGAACCAAGAAGATGTATGTCTTGCAGTCAAGTTTCAAG